TAAGGCGAATCAGGTAACAAAAGGAAAGAGGAGATAGTCGAATCAAAGTCATTCTGGTTGAAATCTGGAGCTATAGCAACAGAATTAGGGCTTTGGATGGAGGAGAAATCATCACGGCACTGTCGCTTAGGGTTTGGAGTTTCCATAACGTTTATTGGCAACGAATTTGGCACGTGTTGCAGAGTATTTATATGTGCTATTGCTTTTAAATTTCTGGATTAATTATTGCTAAAAATACTTATAAAATTGGTTTGGATTTACTTTCGTTTTTTTTTTGATTCTCTAATTAATTTAATTAATGGTCAAACTTCAACTTTAAATCATACTTTACAAAGAAAAAGCAAAAAAAAAAAAAAAAAAACTTGAAATCATCAAAACTTTTCAATGTTATTTATATCCAAATAAAACCACAACGTCACTTTTTTGTTTTTTTTTCTAATTCGTTTAATAATTTCGTATGTTTGTGCAAAGTTCAAATCTCCCAACAAGAAGAATCTTAAGCAAAAGAAACGAATAACTTCTCGTGAAATAGTTCAATAACGAACACTAACGGATTACCAACACTAATCATAACAAATAATCGACATTAAAGCCCATGTCCTCATCTTCTGACTCATCCTCATCCGATGCATCGTCCGATTCCTCATCCGAGTCATCTTCGTCGTCCACTTCATCGTCCTCAGCTTCCATCATCTCTATCAGCCTCAACTCTTCTTCATCGCAGACACCATAAGGCTTTTCGGAACTGAAATTTTGCAGACACAAACTCATTTTTGAATTCAAGGACTTCGATAGCGTCAATCACATGATTATTTTTAAAGCCTATTTATTATAGTAAACCAAGAAGAAGATTAAAAAAAAACCTAGGCAATGGAGGAAAGTCCGCCACAAATGTGACATCTGATCTTTCTTCTTTCAGCCTCTCCAGAGGAAAGCTACAATTTATGGAAAATATAACACAGTGAGTCATTAGTACGATTCTAATTCATACGATGTTAACTATCTAAACAAGAAAATGTAGGATCAATCGGTTACTTTGGTTTGTTACATCTCTTGCCCCTGTCTGAAGATGCTAAGCCGCGGTTACTTGAAATATCCTATTAGAGTAATCCAAAAAGAAGACGATTAAGATTAAAACCAAGTTATACTTTTCATTTACAGAATTTGGCATAATCCGGTAAGAACTTACAATGTGCCTAATGGATTTGAAGCTCCCTGTGAGTAGTGAGTTGCAGAATTCCAACATTTCTTTCTGAAATATCGAGGTAAGTGAGTGTCAGACCAAGACTCTGATGAAACAACCAAAAAGTCAAAAACTTGTTTATGATTAATCTTTTACCTCCTGTAGTTTAGGGCAGTTGCGCAATATTAGAGTCTTGAGTAGACTTTCTTTGCAGCTAGGTCCCACCTCCCTACCAACAATATTTTCTTGCTATGTGAGCTTTTGCTAATAAAAAGACTGAAGGCGAAAATTTTGCTTTTAACATTTTGGTGTCTTCACCTCAAAAAACGACCCTTGATTGTAGGTGATCTGGACAAATTCAGGTACTTCACTTTACGACAACTCTGCAAATAACATCCAAATATGTTTTGGGTTTTGTAAAAGCATAGAATAGATGAAGAGAGAAGAAATACCAGAAAGATTAAAAAAAAAGGAGTCATACATCAGCAAGATTTCGGGCCCAGTCATCGGTTAGTCCAAAGCGTATGAGCGTTAGGGACGTTAAGTTGGGGCAATTGGTCACAAACTCCACTAATGATGATCCTGTTTTAGTCTCTAACGTACCTGTCACACAATAGGTGAGCTTGAGCATACTTGAAAGTAACAAAAAGAAAAGCTCAAAATGGAAAAGCTTTACGTGGATAACCGTAGGTCTCTAAGAACAGGTTCTCTATTAAGCGGCATTTTTTTGTCAGTGAATTAAATAGCTCCTCAGTTAGGTTATACCTGTCACATGAAACACGAAATACCGTAAAACATGAGACAATGTTGCGTAACAAATGAGCAGAAGTGAAAGTCGATAGACATTGAAGTAGTAACAAACGAAAGCATAGAAGCTGACAATATGAAACCTCTGGACAAAGGGAAAAAACAAAGAAAGAAATGGAAAAATTCCTGAAATTCAAAATAGACAAGCTGGCACTCCAAGACAACTTACAATCCAACAATCCTCAGATCAGTGATATTTGGACAAACTGACAACGCATCGCATAAGGACCTGTATTTCATAGGTCTGAGATTGTAAAGCCGCAGGCTTCTCAAGCGACTCCTAGTTGATCGAAGAAAAGAAAATACCAAGTTAGAAGATCAAGTGCACATGATATTGAACAACAATTTCTCAGAAAATAGACGAGTGATACCATTTTTTCTGTATGATAGTAGTTATAGAGAATTTGAATCAATTTCAAATGCACAATCGAAGGGAATAGACAAGATTTCAAGATACAAATAATAGGATTTTCTCTTAATTGATCTCAGGCTTGATTCCTGGTTTCGATATTTTTTACACCTAAGGCATTAGCCATAAACAATGAGTTTTGATAATGAGAGAGCATGATGAAATTGCATTGACATGTTTTTTCCTGATCTAGTTCTTTCCTATCTATAAAAACTATAACCCTTTTTCCATATAGTCGGTTTTCAATCTTAACTCCATAGCTAAGTTAAGACTGGACAAGGCAAATAAATATAACAAGTTTGATATTGAAATTTCAAACTGGTAACGAAGCCAATACCCAAGAAAGCCATGATTATATGCTAGTGGGGAAAGACAAGATCCGCTAAGCAAAGGTGCAGTAGAATCAGATCCAGCTGTACGAACAACACGACCAAGTTTGAGGGATCTGCAAGCATAAACAAAACCCTGAGAAATGATTACATAGACCAAATTCAAATATAGAAAGAAAAAGAATATAAAAAGCTAAGAGATGATATAAGCAGATTGTTCTTCCATCTCATTAGACTCAGTAGGTTTTATACTAGCAATTAGAAAAATGGAAGCACATTAAATGGTTGTTTGAAGACACAAAATTTCACCTGAGTTCTTTTCCAGCCCGATTGATCATAGTAGACACAACTCCTTTATCAGCATATCTAGCAGACGTTGTCAAGTCGATGTGGGAGTAACATAAACGGTCCATAGCACATTTGTTGAACATGGTGCAGCACACAGCTGCTTGCATCAGAGACTTTGTATCAAGCATCGAAAAAACCTGAATAATCGAATTAAACAAAGTACATGAGAAAACCACTCAAGATGACATATCCTAAAATTCCAACTCTTCCTAAAATTGAACAGAAATCGTTACTAATCACAATGGATACAATAACGCAAATGGTTCAAGTTTCGACGAACAAAGCATAATTCGAGAATCCCCGAAAAAATCGCCTCTAAATTCAATAACGCAAATGGTTCAGGTTTCCAGGAACAATGCATAATTTCAGAATCCTCAATTGATTACATCGATAAAGAGACCAGGCGTTGTACCAAAAACTAAAACATCATCGCCTCTAGATTCAATACAAAGACAGAGCAAAAATTTCCTTGTTACCTTAATTGTAAGTTCTGGAGGAAGGAACCAGGAATTGGAATTGTGAACAGAAGCTCGTTTCCGGAAGCATCGTTTCGTGGAATCGAGAAGAAGCGATGCGAGTTCGAGAGTGCGATCGACGAGACGATCCTGAACGGATTCATCAGCGGAAGCGGAGGCGAGAGCTCTATCAAGGACTCGATCGAAGGAACAGCTAATGGAGATCGTAGAAGAATCTGGAAACGAGAGGAGCGATGAGATAATCAAATCGGTGTGGCTATGGTTCGAGCCGGGAAGAGTACGGACCGAGTTAGGGCTTTGTGTGGGAGGATTTGGTGAATCCATGGAACCCAACCCAACAACGTTGAAAGAGTCTTCTCAGGCGTTTTCTTTTCTCCTCTATTTATTTATAAAAATGGCTCCGCCTCCTTGGTCCTTTTTTTTCTTTCATTTCTTTTAAAAGTAATGAATGAGACTCTTTTCCTTATGATTTTGCAATGTAATTCAATTATAAAAAATTTAGAACATTATAGTTTTTCGATTTTACATTTTTAAGTTGGCAAATTAATTCCTTAAAAGTGGTGTTCAATTATGGATTTTAATAGAATTGAAATCCAACACTAATCGAGTGTTATTCAACTAATGATTCTAAATCTAACTTTAAAATCTGGTGTTATTGGATCTAATACTTCATTAGATTTTAAAAGTTTGGTATTATTCAACAAAGATTTAAAATACTTCATTAAAATCCAGGGTTATCCAAAACTAAAAGATTTGTAAAATCTTTGTGTATTAAATCATTTGAAATGAAACCTCTTTGGAGTTTCATGAATAAATTATTAGAATCAAAATCCAAGATATACTGCAAAGATTTTGAAATCCACACAAACAAACTCTTACAAACAATATCAGAAAGCAAATCTAAACCTGAAAAATTTGACTTTAACTCTATGATTGAATAACACCCTCTAAATGTGGGGTGAGTGGTGACAGATGATTACTGGGTTCAGAAAAACGAATGTTAACATCTATGTTTTCTTATTTAACGTTGATTATTAAAGAACTTAAATTTTCATCGTCAACGCAAACTTGGATAATTAATTTGCAAATGTGAAAATTGAGAAATAATTAGGTCAGAATTATAGATTTATGCACAACTTGTAGAATTAGTTCATACCTTAAATAAATATTTTAATTAGTTAATCAAGTCGCCTTGGTCTAGTGATAAAGTGGTAAAGGAGAGAAATGAAGACCGAACCCATTTTCTTCTGTAATTGGTCAACGGTTAGATTGAATCAAATATGAAATGGAATCATCATCGCTTCACCAGTAGTCTCCACAAGAACATGAACCATCCTTAAAATGGTGAAACCTGTTATTATCCCTCAAAATAATCAGTCTCCCTGTGACTTTGGCCATATACTTGATGGCATTGTGACAATCCTCGCACACACGCAGATTCTTTATCACACGGATCGGTCTCCCCGAAGACACACGCATTATCCCATAAGCTACAGCCAGTCTCTCGCTATGGTACCGAACCATACGCTCCTTCTCTTCTTCTTCCACATCATGAAGTACCACACTCGTCTTTGAAACATACCCTGCTTTCTTCATTCTCAAATCCAGATCCTCCAAAAACGCAAAGATCTCGTCTTTCTCAGGATGAAACTCATCCCCAACCGAGAAAGTATGAGTCTTGTTCTGAATCTCAATCCAACTGTACCCTGGAACTTTCTTCACCCCTTTATCCCGCATTCTCACTCGTAGTTTACCTACATCTCCCCATCGACCAGAAGAAGCGTATAGATTAGAGAGAAGAACATACATACCGGAATTTTCAGGCTCCATTGCAAAAATCTTATCTGCAGCTGTTTCAGCTAGCTCTGTGTTTCCATGGACTCTGCTTGCACCGAGTAAAGTTCCCCAAATTGCAGCGTCTGGCTCAAAGGGCATGTTCTTCATTAGATTGTGAGCTTCTTCTAGAAGCCCAGCTCGACCGAGAAGATCGACCATGCAAGCGTAGTGTTGTGAGTTAGGCCTTACGCCATAGTCTTGAGTCATCGTATGGAAATATTGCCTGCCTTTATCAACAAGTCCTGTGTGACTGCACGCAGATAATACCGCAACCATGGTAGCATCATCTGGCTTCAGTCCTTCTCTCTTCATTGACTCGAAGAACCTTAAAGCCTCTTCTCCAAACCCGTGCCTTGAATAACCTGCAATCATTGTGTTCCAAGAGACAATGTCCTTCCCAGCCATCTCCTTAAACAAGTCATTAGCTTCTTCTATGCTTCCACATTTGCAATACATCAACAAAAGCGCATTCCCAACAAAGCACCCAGTCTCATACCCGCCTTTAACCAATCGTCCATGCAATTGCTTCCCAAGCTCGAGAGCAACAACGTCTGCACATGTGCTTAGAGCAGATGAAAACGAAGACCGATTCAATCTCCCTCCCTCTCTCTCCATTAGTACAAACAAACGCAGAGCTTCATAGCTGTGTCCGCTTTGCGAGTACCCTGCAATCATAGCTGCCCAAGAGACCGGATCTCTCTTAGGCATTTTATCAAAAAGGTTCTTAGCTTCAGAAATTTTGCCGCACTGAGCATATCCAGTTATCATCGTGTTCCATGTACTAACATTTCTACAAGGCATAACATCAAACAATTCCTTTGCCATCTCCACTCTCTCCCCCTGCACATATCCTGCAAGCATGGCATTCCATGACACTTCGTTTCTCTCTGGCATTCTGTCGAATAATTCTCTCGCTTCTTCCACCATTCGGTTTTGTATATATCCTGATACCATTGCTGTCCATGTAAAGACGTCATGAACAGGAGACTCATCAAACAGTTGTCGCGCCTCATCAATTTCCCCGTTCTGTGCATAACCAGTGATGATCGTATTCCATGAGACCACATCCCTCACCTTCATACTATCAAAAAACTGTCTTGCCTCAACAATCTTCTTCTTCTTAACAAACCCACCAAGCAAGCAGTTCCACGAAACCAACGCCCAATTCTCCCTTGACCCAAACAACACACAAGCCTCCTCCAATTTACTATTCTGAACATAAGCAGAGAGCAACGCATTCCACGATACGTCGTTCTTCTCAGGCATTCGATCAAAAACCCTTCTTGCATCATCAACACACCCATTCTGAGCGTAACCCGACAAAATCGTATTCCACGAACAAACATCCCTCTCAGGCATTCTCTCAAACAATTCCCTAGCTTTCCCAAGATTCCTGTTCCTTACATACCCTTTAATCATCACATTCCACGAAACTAAATCTCGTTCAGGCATTTCATCGAACAACATCCGTGCGAGTTCAAACTCACCATTTCTCAAATACCCAGATATCATAGCGTTATAAGAAACGGAACTCCACCTAGGCATGCGTTTGAAGACACGAAGCGCTTCGCTGCACCTTCCAGTACGCATGTAGCTGCTTATAGCAACGTTCCACTCTTTTATATCCGAGTCTCCAGATTTAGGGAGAGGTTTGGTCTGCGATTTCTGGATTTGGGTTTGAGTAGAGCTCTTCGACGAGTGGAAATTTGATGCACTGTTTGCGTTGTTGTATCTTCGTTTGAGTCCATTCAAGGATGTATGTCGCCGCGAAAGAGCACCAAACTTGTATATTTGCATTACTGAAGAGAAAACATTCTCAAAAGATGGTCTCAGTGGATTTCACAAATAGTTTGATCAGTTCCACGACCAAACAATGCATAATCACAAAAAGATTTCTCAATTTCTAACATCGTAGCGAGAACAAGGCCGTATCAGTTATATTTTTTTTTGGGCAAAAAAAAAATTCATTGTAATAAACTAAATTTAATTAAAATTTTGAGCTTGAAGACAAAGGATAAGTACACCTTTACTTGTGTGTCTCTAATTTTGTCAAAATTACATGTAGTTTAGTACACTTTCTGTCCCATTTTATAAAAATTCAACCAATAGAAAAAGATACTGCATAATTAAAAACTATTAAACTAATATAAATCATGCATTGAAAATAGAGAAAATCTTCTATAATGAAACAAATGAAAAAGTCTAAAACATTTTAAAATTGGTTGATTTAACATAACTAAACTTTTGAAGTAAAAAAAAAAAATTGAAAATAAAACAAACAGAAATATGCATGATCCAAGAGAAATAAAATGGTTTTTAGACCATAGGTAACAAAAATATATCAATGCCTAATTATATTTTCTTGAGGAAAAGGTAATAAAATTGAAAGAAGTGACACCATTATCACAACTTCACGAGTCACAGGACAACGTCAGTCATCGTCATCTTCAGTTCCACTGTCGTCGGAAGAATCTCCTGAGCTGAATTTTACAAACAACAACAAATCATTTAAACTTGAATTCCTAATAATTAATTTTAAAAGCCTAATAACAAATTGATCAACCTTGATGATGATGAATCTGAGGAAGAAGATGAATCTGACGACGACGATGGTGATGGTGATCTAACATCTGATACTGATGATGATGATGGTGATCTAAACTCTGCCACAAAAGTGAGACCTGGTCTTTCTTCATTCAGCTCTTCCAGAGGAAACCTACAACACACAATATAATGGCCATATATATAAACCGTTACGTTATTTAACCGAGTTATTATGATTACTATTAGTCAAATGGTAAACAATAATAATAAAAAAAATCAGTTACTTTGGTTTGCTACATCTCTCGCCGCCATAAATTAATCCGGCCTCATTTGAAACGTCCTATTGAAGAAAAATATCATGAGTAAACAAAAGCACTTGTCACCAGACCAAAACTAGTAATGTGTTATTAAGAAGAGAACTTACAATGTGTCGAATGAATCTGAAGTGTCCTACGAGTAACAACGAATCCAAAAACCGGCAAACATTTCTCTGGATATTAAGGGTCCAATATTAGTAGTGACATATTAATATGAGATGTAACAACGAAAGTTATGTTAAATTCCTTTACCTCCTCTAGAGAATTGCAATCTCGCAATATCAAAGTCTCGAGCAGAGAGTCTTTGCAGTCATGGCTCACATCCCTACCCATCAGAAAAAAAAAAAAAAAAACTCTCCGCCATAAGAAACTTAGAAAACATAAAAAATACTTAACTAGGATATCATCAGCTCAAAAAACATGAACCTCAAAAAGCGTCCTTTGATTATAGAATTTCTGGATAGGTTCAGGTACTTAAGCTTACGCAAACCCTGCAAAGAAGCATCGGATATTTTTGTAAAACATTTAGATATAGCACCAAATGAAAATAGAAGAAATACCAGAAAACCAAAAAAGCCATACCTTAATAAGAAGGTAGACTTTCTTGTCACTTAGGCCAAAACCTATAAGTGATAGTGAAGTTATATTGGGGCAGTTTCTCTCAAAGGAAGAACCACATACAGAGATCGATCTAGCTGCCAGACATTAATTG